TATGTTTATGTATGTACCAAATTGAATGAAATCCGTCCATGTATACTGAGATCCGGGTCCGGAATGGTGAAATGTGCGATTTCAATGCATTTCGGCTTAAAGCGGCCGCCATTGGCTATCGTTAATGAGATCATGAAACAAATGCACATACATATTTGTGACATGATGTACCTTGTGTGTGTGAAGTTTGAACTCGATCAATCCAAGCATGTTTCAGATACGGATCCAGAACTGAATTCTTTGAAACAAAATGGCCGCCAGTCGGCCATTTCGAACCCGATCCAAAAAAAAAATGACGTGCATCAACGTCCTATTATGTTTAATGTATGTACCAAATTTGAACAAAATCCGTCCATGCATAACTGAGATCCGGGTCCGGAATGGTGAAAATGTGTGATTTTGATGCATTTTCGGCCTTAAAATGGCCGCTATTCGGCTATCGTTAATCGGATCATGAAAAAAATGCATGTGCATATGTCCCATATAATGTGTGATGTATGAGTGAAGTTTGAACTTAATCGGTCCATGCATGTTCGAGATACAGGTGATCACGGACGCACGGACGGACGCACACAGGGCAAAACATAAGTCCCCGTTTTCGGACTGCGTCCGAACGGGGACTAACAAAGCATCTCTTTCAAATTTGTACAGGTTACAATTGAAGAGGAAGTGTTCTTCGTCTTCAATTTCATTGGAGTCACAGACAGGGCATGTTCTATTTAAGATATCTATGTTGTGATATCGCCCAACTTCAATCTGAAGTATGTGGGCACTTCTCCTCAGTTTAGTCATAGATGATCTGTGGATGGGTTTTTTAATAATTTCAGGGTATTTTTCAAGTGCAAAATCAGTTTTCAGCTGTCTGTAGGTACAAAGTTTATTTTTGTGACTAGTGCCTTTATTGTCATTATGCATTGTTTCTGTGCAGTGTTTTTCAAACATATTTTTTAGTTTTTTTTGTAGCTATTGGAAGTATTGCAGAACTTGTCACCAAAATTCTCTTTATCCGATCATCACAGGTATTTGTCATTGTAATACCAGAAATGTGTATATTTTTGTGAATAAACTTGGTATGATGCAACTGGTCATTTTGTGGTTACATTTATTCAAAAGTAATATGCCTGATAGTTTAACAGAAATAAAGTTTTCAGACTTAAAAAATATCGCGCGAGTTACGCCCTCTACGATGATCAGCTTAACGTTTGTTGCAGTTCGAAGGGGGCGCCATTCACACCTCAGTACATGTCAGGCTAATCCAAAATAATCAAAAAAAAGGTGAAACAGACCTGTAAAACGTGGGGGGGGGGGGACATTTCGACCTACAATTCACTCAATAGTATAGAGATTATTGGACTGAAATGCCCTTTCTACGACTTTCTTATTTTTCTAGTTTGATCAGTAATTTCCAGACTTCACTGATATAAATAATTAAATGTTTAACGGCAGCATAAAATGGCCAGAAATTATATTTATCTATATTTAACCAGGATAGTCTATTCATTTTCTTCCCGAAGGAGTTCTATGGTTTCCAATGGAAATCAAGAATGGAATGGAATAGATAAATAACTACTAGCAAACCCCCAGAGTAGTAAAGACTAAACCAATATAATAAGAAGCGTAACACAATCTGGCTTCATCACAAATATGTTATAAACAGGAATGTTGTCAAACATCATTTGTGAAACAGAAATGTCAAATTTATAGTTAATGGTCAGTCTTTTAAAAGCCATTCTGAATGTTACAGGTTTATACATACAAAATGTGCATATATAAATCAAATTTGTTTTTTTTTATGGTATGACCGTATTTCATATTTATGAATCATGTTAGTGAAAGCAGACCATTTACTTCCAGAGTCACTTTATTTAAATAACGCAAAATAACAAGTTATTAAATTGAAAGTAGGAACAGAATTAAGTAGTCGGTAATGTTGAAAACTCCCCATGCATATAGTGTACTTCTATCACTGCCACACATGCCTTTTTATATGATACCTTTGGCGCAAACACAAAGTTACATTGCTATTGAGGAAAATGTAGAAATATTGATCAGTCAGGATGGCAATAGATCAGTCTACCCCCTTCAGAGCTAAAAAACACAAGAAGTCAAAATCACAACAATTTTTTAACTATGGAGATGCCACAAACGAAGGGCAAATCAAAAACTACATACTGTAGAATACTTTATTTGCGCTTGGAATTTATTTCCGCCATTTTAGCCGAAGGGATCATTTTGTGAAAATAAAATCCAGCGAATATACTTTTTTCTTATATTTCACATTCAGCTCATCAAAAATCCGTGAAAATAAATTCAATACAAAACGCCCAAAAAGCCTTTTCAGCGAAAATCAATTCCAGCTAAAATAAAGTATTTACGGTGTTACTCTATTATCTAAATAGATGGTACTTTTAACTAATCTTCAGCCAAGTGAGGAAATCCTGCCTTTTTCAGGACTTGCTTGTGTTTATTTGTTAAAGCAAACTGAACTGTGATTGGCATTACAACAAGTAAAGGTTCAAAGTTGGGGTGAATTGTTCGCACACAATGTAAACTCAGATGATAGTAAGCATTTTGCTTTTTTTTCCCATTAGATATGTACCACTTGTTTGAAGCTCAGTTATAGCAAGGCCTGACTTCTGGGTGCTTAATTATCAAGTCGTATGGCTCTGTTTTCTATTTATTACTGTACGAGTCATTGCATCCATAACAGTTTGAAATTAATCCATGTAAAAATACAATTTCATAAGTATCTCTATCTGTGTCAATTGCTGTATATAGTTTCAGCTGTTTGGGGCTGGAGGTTTCTAACATTACATGAGCAGGTGTCTGCATGATCTTATAATTTTCTAATTTTGTTACAATTTCTCTTATTTCTTTTTGGTTATAACTATTAACTGTAACATAATCTTGTCCTTTTCTCTTTACCCAAGAAGTAACAGAACAAAGAGCCGATGCTTGCAGGCCACAGCCCCTTGTCGAATAGAATTTTGACTATCAGCAAAAGGACAACTGCATCTCGGCATTTCAGCAAGTGTAATAAAATATATGTTCTCATCACTGCCTTCAATGCACAGAGATGCCTGTGTTGGAGAATTTACCTCAATCTCAGTCATTTTATAGTTGAACATTAGTTTGGCTTTTTGAAGAGAGGCATTTAAACTATTACTTATGTTCACTCTGGTTCTTCCTTTTGGCCTTATATCAATATCTCTACCCTTATCTGCTCGATGAGATGCTTCTGGATTCGACTGAAAAGTTGATGTAGATGGCATAAGTGGACCACCATTTCCATCATACTGAGTATCTAGTTCCTTCATTAGCACATTCACCGTTTTATCTTCCTTATTTTCTTTTATTTTTTGTTTTACCGCATAGGATGGGCCTTTACCACTTTTGGCCGTGCCTTCACAATAGCTTCTAATTTGTTGCCCATATTTAAATGAATCAGCAACATCATATACAGCTGCCTCGGGTAATGTGATATCTGAACCACTACTGAGTGTCATGGATGCATGACTTGCCTCTGCTAGATTTGTATTGGGGCATGACAATGGTTTATGTCGGTACGCTTCCATGACATGATGACGTCTTTTGTCCCACCAATGTAACCATGGAAGTAATCCGGAATTTCCACTCTCTCTGATGAAAGTTTCTATTTCCCTGTAGTATGTCATATACTCATTCACTGTGACAGAATACACAAGTTCATTTACAAGAAATTTGAATTTTGTTACTGTATAGTTTTTGTTTAACTGTCCCATAAAAGCACTGTTGGCATGTCGGAGAGCACACTGCATAAGATGTAGACGACAACTTACACTATTTTCATCACAGTATTGTCTTCCAAATCTTTTTTCAAGACTACAATGAAGAGCACCACCTTCATCAAGCATCCAGCCTGCAACAGGTTTGAACTGTTTAATAGCAGAGTTTGTAAAGCTGGACATCATTTCATCAAACATTTCTAGGAACAACTCTACTGTTTCACTATTTTCTTGTTCACAGTCCATTCGGGCTAACCAAACGACCCTTTTCAACAAAGGATGGTAAGTACTCACACTAACACTTTTGAGTTTATGTCTCTTTGACTTTACTCTGTTGTGCTTAAAATCCATGAAACACCATTCATCACACATCATGTGTTCTGTATCCATAATATGTGTGGCTGTTTTCAGTCGCTCCACAGATGACTTGATGACGTAAGTTTGATACTGTTCTGGACAGTTGGTTTGAAACTCGTGTTTAGAAATTTTACCATCTTTGCAGGTTGACTGAATTACAAACCACCAGCCTAGGAAGTTGCGAGTACCTACTCGCAAATGCGCCTAAAAAATACGTCTATGCGAGTAAAAACTTTTAAATATCCGCATTTAGCTTGCAGTTTTCAGAAACTACTCGCATTTTGCGAGTGAAAATTGAAGCAGCTGAAACATGCCGTGCACGCGTCAGACTAGACGAGATACCGAGCATCTTTGAATAGTTAACGATGTACTCGGAAAGTCTAGTTTCAGGCGCATGGCAAGTGTCATGTTGCAATTGAGAGCGTACAAGCCAAAATAAAAAAAATAGTAACATTGTAAATATGTGATTGGCAGTTTTTGTTTCTAGTCAAAATACGGGCATACAGTTTTTTTTAAATGAACGGCGGTTTACACTGTCGGCGGCTCTTTGATTGTCAACAAAATAATTTTCATTGGCTAATGTGACTGCGTTTTTCAGTCTCAAGTCGCGTTGGAAACATTGATAATCTAAGTCACACTGTCGCTTTCTCCGCTCGAACAAGACATGGCGAATAAGCAGATTACTAATTTCTTTCGGCCGGTTGAGCAGAACGAAATTCCAACAACTAACACCGGGACATCAGATCCTACATCCTCGCATCTAGCCACAAAACGGAAGATTGCATGGGATTCAATTTTGGGCACGAGTACGCGATCAAAATCTCGGAAGCCAAAACAAGATGGAAAAATTGTGAGATGGATCGAGCAATTCGAGTGGTTAGACGTTGACACAAGTGAAGGCGGCCGACAACTCGAGGCTGGCAACATATATCGAGTATGGTGTAAATGGTGTCGATCGACACGAGAGAAGACAGATTATGCCTCAGAACGTGGTAAACTGGTCGAAAAAAAAGAAAGTCTGACCGAACATAGCGCCTCATCAAGACACATTCACGCACGTGATAAATTCTTTGCCGGACCTGTTGAAACAAGTTCACTCGCCAAAGCATTCCGGAAATCAGCTGACCACAGTGTTGATAAAACTGTAGCTGAATTGAAAATTAAGTTCAACATAGCATATATGATTGCTAAACATGAAATGCCGTATTCGATGTTTCCAAAGTTACTGCTACTTCACCGTAAAAATGGAGTTGACATAAACCCAACATACGATAATACACACAAGTGCGCTGAAATTATAGCGAATATCGCAGATGGAATGAGAAGGGAGTTATCGAGCAGTATTAAAAATGCCAACTACATTTCCATTCTTATCGATGGTGACACCGATAACGCTGCAAAGGAATGCGAAATCGTGTACGTACGACGTGTCGACAAAAATGGGAAGGCGACAGTGAATCTGCTCGGGCAAAATGTGGTTGAACACGCACTTGCAGATGGCGTACTGAGTGCCACCAAAGCTTTGTGTGAATATGTTGACGAACGTTGGAGCACAAAATTAATTGGTTTTTGCGCAGATGGGGCAGCAGTAAACCTGGGAAGAAACAGAAGTGTCTCTACTTTGCTTCGTGACGGCGTGGCTAACTATTTGGTGTCAATCCATTGCATGCCGCACCGCCTGGAACTTGCGATGTTAGCCGTTCAAAAAAACGTTGCTATGGTGAGGAATGTACACGATGTCTTGAATATGATATGGAAAACATACCATTATTCACCCAAGAGTTACAGGGAACTTGGATCGCTTGCTATGGAATTAGGGGTGAATGTTTATACTCCAAAGTCAGTTACTGGTACAAGATGGGCGCCACACGTGGAACGAGCGTTACGTATTTTTCTATCAACGAAACAAGTCGATAAAAACAATCCAACTTCGGCAGGTCAGTACGCCGCTGTATTAGCCCACAGTGAACATCTTGCTTCAACAACACGGAACGCGGACATCAAAGGTCGGGCTACAAAAGTTGTACGTACAATGACCACCCTGAAATTCGCTGCATTTTGCCATTTTTTGTTAGATTTATTTTCGGAGATTGCAACGTTGAGTCACACTCTACAAACAAATGACGTGATTCTAACTCAGGCAATACAAGCTGTTAAATCGTGTATTGCGACAGTTGAGTTAATGAAAATGCAGCCTGTTGAAAATGGTTCCCTGGAGAAGTTCAAGGAAATAATGAACACTGAACAAATAAATTCGAATAATGCCAGTACAGATGACAATTTGGAGCCAGTTACTTTCCAAGAAATCAAACTAAAAGGACGCCCAACTTAAATAATGACACAGTTACAAGCTGACATAAACAACACATGTGATGAAACCGTACAACATGCTCTGAAAACACGATTTGACAACTTGTTGGGTACAGCAAATGCAGAGGGGCCAGCTAAAGCTGTCTACTGTTTGTCTGTGCTGTTCAATCATGATGCATGGCCAGATGATGTTACCAGGCTTATGGTATATGGGCAAGAAGAGTTGGCTTTTCTTTTGCAATGGTTTGGTTCAATCTTAGAGAAAAACGGGTGTGATGCATCAAATGTACCTGCTGAGTGGAGGCAACTAATAAAAGCTTCTGGTGTTTAATCAGTTTGGTGATAAATCACAGTCATCTCTATGGGCCCTGTGCTTAATAAAGAAGCCTTATTGTGATAATTATAAGAATGTATTCCACCTGTGTCACATAATGATCGTACTGCTCGTAACCACAGCCCAGTGTGAACGTGGCTTTTCTGCACAAAGGCGTATCAAGAATAAACAGCGTAATAGACTGCATCCAGAAAGTGTGGGTGATCTAATACGTATCAGCCTGGAAGGCCTAGCATGGCTGAATTTGATCCTTCAAGTTCTGTTCACATATGGATGCATGAATCAGTGCGGGCCAGACGACCAAATGTGAAACTGATGTGGCCTGATAACATCGTACATGCAGTCTCCGACCAGGATACAAATCAAGACTTTTTGTAACAGAACAGTATCTCTCATTACAGTATATCATTATTGTAGTTGTATACGCAAAGTTCAACATAACACATTTTATTTGTTTTACGCATGAAACAATTTTGCTCCTAAAATTTTAGGTTTAGGAGCATTTTGCTCCTAATTTCTTAGTGCTTAGAGCATTTTGCTTTTTGCCAAAAAGTTAACTTCCTAGCTGCATGGATGTAGTAATTTCTCCTGACAATTTTTCTTCAAAGCTACGGTAACTCAAAAGTGATGACAGATTCATTTATAG